GGATCGAACCTGCAGCCGAGGTACGTGCCCTTGGCCGGAATCGAACCCAGGACCCCCCAGTCCACAGGCCGACTCCCTAACCACTGAGCAAAATCGGCTAGAGCTTGTGATTCTTCTTAATATTTCCCCCCAGAAGACTGAATAAAAGTTATTTTATGCCTGTGTTCTATTTGGAAAACACTATAAAACTTTGAGCAGACAACGGCGTTGTGATAGCACAGCGCTTACGAAAGTGCTATATGCTTTTCTGATGAAGATGTAACTTGATTGCCCTAAATGTACTCTCTCGGTTAATACAGCAGGCAAATGGGAGATCATTTGAAATACCTCTCCTACCATTTATAGCGTCAGAACATACAACTTACCTTTAAAAATGCAAAAGATTCATTGCAATAGAAGGCCGTGCTTACACATACAAATGCATTTTTAAAACTACTCACCTGTGTAGTGCCGAGAGGATTCATGCTCTGAGATCGTTCACCTTTGCAGAAATGAAATGGGATTTTCTTGCTCACCGTGTTCCAGGAGCAGCTAGTGAGGTCAGAGATCTCTTCGGGGGCAGGATGCCAGCTTTTGTGAACTCCTCTGCAGGGGCTGTTAGAAAGAACAGCTGCAAGGCTGGGCCCTGTATGCTAAAAGATGACTTTAAAAAGTCCTTTCTGGGCCAGAGTGGTCTGATTTGGTAGCAGAGATGCCAGCTATGCCTCTGCCTTGAATTTCTGGGGGTGTCACAGTCCTGGCAGATTGAGAGAGATCTTCAAGACGTAGGTCACAGATAATGCCATTACACCTTGATGGACTGTGGCTTCTGTTCCCCTGTGGATGCTGGCACCTTGCAGGGCTGCTGTTGCCCAGGCGGAGCAGGCTCCTTGAGGAGGTAATGGAATCAGCAAAAAGGACTCTGGCCTAGGAGACGTGGCTTCCAGTCCTGCTTGTGTCCCGTGTTTGATCTCAGGTGCCTCCTGAGATGCTCCGATCCTTATGTACTAAGGCGCCATATAAGCTGGTTGGATTTCATGAGATCCCAGCTACATCCCTTCTCATTTTCTAGGGGATGTAATATGTGCAGCATCATGTAGCAAAGGAATTAGGCCCTGCTTCTGCTACATACACATTTCCAAAACACTTTCACATTTATCATCTCACTTTTAACCCTGTCACAAACCGGTGAGATAGGAAGGGCAAATATTTTTGTCCCACTTAACTTATTAGGGACAGGCAAGCAGAGATGAAGTTCACGGCACAGCTCAGATCTCCTGACTCCCATTTCTAGACTTGCACACGAAATTAAATCGGATCAGCCGTTTGCGATATGTGTGAAAGGATATGCAATTGGATTCTTTGTGGGAAAAGAAACTAGATAAGTTATATTAAATTACTGCAGAAGTAGGTAAAATAAAGTTCTGTTTCCCTTACTGAAAATTTACCTTTGACTCCCTCCATGAAATGGATTAGAATGTTTTGTTAGGATTTAAGAAATATGCAAACCCAGAAAAGGCACACCTCATATTCTTTTAAAAATAATTCCTCCTGGGACTTCTTTACATTCTGAACACTCGCTTTATTATTACATTATAAGGTTTGCGGCTTTAAATGCCACGGCATCCGAGTCTAACTTTTATTGGTGATATTTGGGGGCATCCCTTTCCACTGCCATCTCCCATTTCCTTTGTTTTGATCCACGGATACAATTTGGTTTATGAATGAAGGCTTTTTGATTCTTCAAGACATATTTTGATGAATTGATTCAAGGACGTGTTATTGAAAAGCAAACTCCATCAGGGACATATTCTCCTACTTCCCTTAAAAAGAAATCTCATCAAAATCAACTTTATTCATCATCACACCACGTTCCGGAATGTTAGGAAGACATAGCCACATTTTTTTCGTCTGTTGCATATGTCCATAAAAGTATTCAAGCTAAAAAGCCAGCTTCAGGACTGCTTCTAAAATGTGGAAATAAAATGAGTGTCTTAATCCATCAGATAATAAACACGATGTAATTCAGGTTCTGGCTGGACCTACCTGGCTTCATTGGGGGACTTTCTGTCCTGCTGCAGTCATGTTGGAACTAGAGCCTGTCCTGAGTCATCTTGGCACTAACTCCAAAGGCTCAGTGAGCCCCAGGAAAAACGTTGCTTCCCCTCTGCTGTAAGCATCGTTCACATCCAGTGATCGTATCATATTGAGTTGGGCTTTTCCTTCCATGTGGCACACACACTGTGTTATTTTTCTTCCTGGAAAATACAGCTTCCATGCACCTGTTGTCTTTCACTAAGGCATTTGCCATCTGTCCTCCCATCTGATTTCACATCAGAAACATCTGGAGAGCTTTGAAAGTACAGAGCTTGAGTCCATAGGTCTGGGCCGAGACTCTGGAATCTGTAAAGCTTCCTTGGTGAACCTTAGGCCTGGCAAGGTTTAGGAACCACTGTTCCAAACATGTGTATCAGAGTCCTCGAGGCCACCCACGGGTTCAGAGAGTCTCTAGGAGGACTCAGATTCCACATACAGAGGTGCTCATGGCTGTGATCATTACAGCAAAGGCTATAAAGTACAATCAGCAAAGGGAAAGGCATGTGGAGCCAAGTCCAGAGGAAACCAGGCACAAGCTTCCAAGAGTCTTCTCCTCTCATAGTCACCAGGATGTGCTAAATTCCCCAACATGGAAATGTGACAACCTGTGTGCAATGTGATCAGAGATTTTATTTGGGGCCTGTCCTATAGGCTCCCTCTGCTTAGCATGAACCAGAATTCCAGGCTCCCGGAAGAAAGGCAGGTGTTCAAGCCACATGGTTTGTACAAAGAGTTGAGGCACAGGGCTCCCCTCTTGCCGATTAGGGAGTAAGGGGAACTCTCCCCAAATCCCAATTCTCAGATGTCAGCTATGGGCAGTTGCAAACGGAAATTTTAAGGATAGAGTCTCAGGCCTATTATGTTAACTTTTTTCCTACACAGGATATTAACCAACTTCCCGTGTGGGTTGAATCTCCAGATGAAAATGAAGATTCAGGTGATGAAGTCTGAAATCCTGTTCCTTGAGGATTTTAATAACATTCATACCTTGACTTAAATAGGAAGCAGGCCTTGAGTGCGGGGTATGGACCACCTGTCCCTCCAACACTATTTACGTCCTGGCTCTAGTCGGGGCTTAGAGAAGAGATAGCTGGAGTGTAGACACAGATGTCCTCAAATATCACAGAGACGGTGGATCAACATGCAGCAGCTAACTCACTTTTTATGATCTGTTCCCCTTTCTAGTCTTCCAAATGGGCTTGTTTCCCCTCTGATTTCTGGAAAGGCACAAGTGTAGCTGATGAGATGGCATGGTCAAAACCTATTTCACATCCAAGCCTCTGAAAGCTGTGAGACACGTGTCTCCCCTTCGACTCCCCCAGAAGAAAGCAAACTTTGGAACACCACCTCGTGGGCCACCAGGAATATTCTTCAGCATCTGTTTCTTTGTTAGCTGTCGTTGGTATGACACGAATTTTCTGCAGCGAGAGGCGTCTCCCTGAATCTACAGCTTCCCAAGACTGCCTGGTAGACTAGACGCACCTGCTTTCAGGCATGTGGATGGCAAAATCAGGGGGAGACGCGACTGTATTCTCACGGGCAGTTTCCAGATGAGACTAGAAGTTCATTGAGTGCCTCATACTCAGATGCATTTCATTTTTCAATGTGCACACTTTCTTCCTTCTGAACAAGGAGACTTCCTCCAAGTTCATTTGTCTGTTTACTTTTATTTAGTTCACTTATTCAAGTGACGAGAACAGCATGTCCCTTGTACAGAACCTTCTGGAACCTCATAATGGCAGTCATTACCTTTAGTCTTGCTTTTCAAGGGACAGAATCATCTTCTCATTGGACCTGCCTTCCATTATTTTGATCACTTCTACTATTTTTCTTGGTGATCAAAATTGGACACAGTGTCTTTCCAAATAAACTGCAATATGATATACACACACACACATATGCATATATATATATATATATATATATATATATATATATTTTCTACAAAAGCTCTTGAAAATTATGTGTGTTATATATGTATATTTTTAATTATTCAGAAACATAAGACATGTATTTAAAAATTATATTTCCATGACTTAGAATACCCTTAGCCCTTCCTAGTTTCATGTCTTTGGGAAGTCCCATTGTATCAAGAGGTTAATCTTAATATTTTTTACCCTAGAGATAAGTATTTTGAATAAAGTGAGTCCTGGGACTGACTGGGTAGGTGGGACATGGGGCAGATATAGAATACTTGGAGTTTATACTGAGAACTCCAATGTTGGAGTTCAGAGTGATTCAGAATCCAAGATTTCTTTTTCCCAAAGTATACTCTCAAACTATAAAAATCTCATTTAACAAGAACAAAAGAGAATTTTAAAACAATAAGGAAGACTTGGGAGGGAATCTGTGACATGTCTGAGAATTGGATCTTTCAATATCACTGGGCACAGTTGCCTAACTGCAAGGCAAGTGTTATAGTGCAGTGAGGTCGGAAAGGACATTGACTGTCTATGTCACCAGTGGTTATCTTCCTTGGCAGGAAATGGTATGGGGTGTGAGTGTGAGTGTGTGTGTGTGTGTGTGTGCGCACTGCCTGGGGGGGGCATGAGGATGGAAGAGTGTGAGCCCACCGAGTTTGTACTACGATATATACCTTTTCCAAATGGGATCTTACAATAGTCATTCTATAGATGACCACTTGATTTGGTTGGTAGCTAATGTATATTTATTTCACAGTTTCACATATTTATAGTTTTCTTCATATAATGTTTAAATGGGGTTTCAGAAAAGATATTTCCTTTTAAGCCTTTCTGTAAAAATCACAAATATAATTGAACCATACAACTACATCCCACCTCTGTTAGTAACCCTGTTCCTATTACAAACATTCTGTTAAAAGCTCAGGTGATCAGACCCACAGAAACTAAATTGTGAGAAGTAGCGTAATGGGGAAAAAGAATGAGAGCCTGCGGCACAGGAGGTTATAGAAGAAAGATGATCTTCTAAAGCCAGCTTTTATTTCTGAAAGGAGGGCTAAAGTCACACATTTACTAAAAAGGAAGCTAAAGAATTAAAGATGGGGAGATTCTTTAAAATGACTGAGACTGAACTCTCGTGGCGCACTTGCTCACTGCCACTTACGCTGTTGGCTGAACTTGGCCACGGAACAAGAAGAGACGGACACTTGTATTTTAGGGTGAGAATGGCCGGACTTGGTAAAGGTGGTTCACCTGAAGCCTGAACATAGGTTCTCTGGCAAGTCCCATTGTGCCTCAGACAGTTCACGGCACAGGGCCAACATTCTCCCACTCGTGCAGGATAAGCCACTCAAAGCAGTTCAGGGATCTGAGCATGGCCAAGCTTACTAGTGCTAACCCAAGTGTCCCTGGGAAATGCAGGTTATTATCTAATAAGCATCATTCCTGGTCATTAGAGCATGGGGACTAAAGCTCCTCCTGGAAGGATGCGGGGGTCCGCTGCTGGGAAAGAACAGCAGGTGGAAATGGACTCAACACTGCAAGTCTTCAGGGCAGCTGTCCACACCAAGACTCCGAGGGTAAGTCAAAATACCACAAGACAAAGCAACCTCCATTTCCATCCCCGATATGGGGGAAGGGCTCCAGCAATGTCGAGGGCTGCTGTGTGTAAAACAGTAAAGGGACAAGACATGCCAAATGGGGCTAAAGCCCCAGAGCCCTTCCAGTTTGGGGAAGCCATTATATCTTAGAAACAAGGGATTTGTGTGAGATTATTGATCCATTAGATTTTTCTTCACTTACATTTGACTTTTCAATGGTAAGAATTATTGGAATTTGGGGACAATTCTGTTGTGGTATTAAATACTGTATTAAAAACTCACCTTGGTATTGAGTTAAAACAGTGACTTCAAGCAAGTCAACTTAGTCCCACATTCCATTTGAATCAATAACGAAAACTAGAAAATGTTGCTCCCTAAATAGGTAACAATGCGTTTTGTAAACACTACAGAGACTTAATAAATAGCATGTATGATTAATTCAGAAACAATTCCTGCCACTTGAGGGTTGCTCAGTACATGTAATGGCCTCCTTCTCATATTTCTATATGAGGTAAATGCAGACCAGGGAGCCACTGAGCAGTCAGCCAACCCTGAGTAGGTTTGTAATCTTGGGCTCCATGGGAATGTCTTTTGTAAAGATCAAAAAGGAATGGGTTGGTGTTTCTATTACAAGACTCTGTAGTGCAAGGACTTCTACAAACTTAAATAATGGTTGGGGGGAATGGTGTCCATTCTTTGAGAAGAAATGCTAAATTGTTGTTTTAGCTACTTGTAGCACCATTGGATTAGGGTGCACGCTTGGCTTAGAATACCATTTACATCATGATCTCATTCTGTTGAAGTCCTATGGCATGTGAATTATTAAACATACTCTTAAAAATACATGTAGTATGCCCAGTAAAATACATTGGCTAGCATAAAAATCAAAGGAAATAGTAGTTTGGAGTATCGATCAACATTACTGGGGTTTTGAATCGTGAAGTAATCAACAATCCTTCCCATCTTATCTCGGAAGACGAACTTGAACTTGTCGCTGGTTTTCATGGTCAGGTTGCTGTAGTCAACGTTGTCACCAGAAATTTCAATAGAGGCAAAGCTGATCTTGCGTTTAAAGCTGGAGATGGAGCTGTTGATGATGTTGGCGATGTTGACTTCTTCTGCCTCCTTCGGCACCCCCTAGTTCACAGACAACACAGTTAGCCGAAAGGCTCAACTGGGCAAGATAAATCAGTGGGTACTTATACACCTTGAGGTCTAAGGGTTGCATCATTCGGGTAAACGGAGTGACATTGAGTGCGTGGGAAACTGGCTGCTAAGCCAGACTGGGCGGTCCTGTTTTCCTGCCATGGGCACCGCTCCCTAGTCATCAGCTCGCGTGGCAGGAAGGACAGCCACTGTCCACTCGAGCTGTGTGGGGTGTGTGCCAGGCTAAACTCACAGGCTTCGAGTCGGCTGGCCTGCGCTCAAGTCCCATTCTGTCTCTCGCTCTGGTGAGATTTTAGACACCTTAATGCTTTTAAAATTTGATTTCCTTGCTTGCAAACTGGTGATGATATTAATGCCTGCCTCATGAGTCTGATGGGAAGATTAAATGGTATCAATTATGTAAAGCATTTAGTAGGTATTTGATGAATTCCGTTCTGTTCCAGGGAGGGGGGAGCAATTGATTATGAGAGGTAATAGAAATCAGCAGTGTCTTGAGGTCTTTGCCACACAAACAGAAAGAGTGATGCTCCCTGAAATTCTAGGGAGCTGCCATTCATTCGCCAACATGCTGGTATGACAGAGGACATGGGGAGCGTAGTGAAGTCAGAGAGAACCAAGTTTGGGTCCTTGGCCAGGCCACTTACTAGATGTGGAGTCTTAGGTGAGTTATCTCATTTCTCTGGGAAATGAGCAGTAAAATGAGCAGTTATCTCATTTCCTAAGCAGTAAAATTAGGATAATAATGGTACCCATCTCATGGGTTGTTGGGTGGACTAAACGAGATGTTGGTAAGCTGTTTGACACACAGCAAGTACTCTGGGGTGGAGATAAGGGCTTTCTAGTGTCTTCAGTGACGGGTCTCAGTAATTCTCCAATTCCCTTTTTGCCAATCTACCAAATTCAGATTTTTTTTGGTAATACAAGGAATAAAATAGGTGAAATCCATGTTCTTCTTTGGCTGGCACATATGTCATTTGCCTTTGTTACTTGGGTAGTATGACTGTGGGAAACATTGCTCAAGATAGGTGAATACAAGGGAAAAGGCAGCTGGGTCTTCGGGCTACTCCGATTCTCCATTTCCTCCCTATTAGACCCCATCTGGTCCTGGCGCTCTGCTAAAAGTGGGCATCTCTTCTGTATTAGATCTCTATGGGTTTTTTTGCTTGTTAGCATGAGCTTTCATACGCCAACGTCTATCAACTTGGGTTTCCAAAGAATCCCGGGGTTCCTTCCATAGGCCTTTAGAGAATGACAGTTCAGAGCATGACCTGTTGCCCACCGCAAGTAGGAATAACAGATAAGTGTCAGGCTTGGGAGCCAAGGAGATTTAGGTTCAAATCCCAGCTCTCCCTCTTACTATCTGTGTCCCCTGGGAAAAGTCACTTACCCTTCCCGTACCTCAGATTCCACAACTATAACAATGGAAGGAGCCTTAGTGGGTTGCTCTGAGCATTTTAAATGGTGCCTGGCACATGTGAGTGCTCAATAGATAACAGCCATTATCATTATTCTGAGAGCTAGACTGTGTTTCCAATCAGAAAAATATGCTAATCAAGAAATTTACTACAATTTGATTTTTTCATGCATTTTTCAGTAAACCACTATTTGTATAATTTAAGAAAACAAGAGTGAAACAAAAGAATTCAATAGTGAATACATATTTATCTGAAACTTGTAAGCAGCTGACCATGTTTGGTTTAATATTGGGTTTTTCATGGATGCTGGTTCTTGTAGTTGTGATTTTGCATTGCATACAAATAACATAGTTATTTTCTGCTGGAAAATTAAGAAGCTCCTGCTTGAAAATGAGAATCACTGGAGCAAAGTGAATCGTGGGGGACAGGAACAGGGTCAAGGTGATCTCTACTGACCTACTGACCAGCACATGGCACAAGCGATGAATCATACAGAGGGCCCTCAAAATTCTTACCCTGTCTTTGGCCGCCATCTGCTGTAAGGAGCTGTAGTGGGCAACCGCGTATTCCAGTAGCGCCCCAAACACGAAGCTAAAGCAGATCCCCAGGTACACGTCGATGGCCTTTATGAAGCAGTTGGTGTTGGGAAGAGAAGTGCGGGACCCGATCATCAGGGTGGTCATTGACAATACGGTGGTCACTCCTGGGAAAACGGGAAGGCAATGTTCCCCCGTCAGTGGCCAGCGAACCCTCCACCATTACCTGGCAGACTGTCTCCATTCGGGACCGGGCAAGGTGGGGACAGGGGACAGGGCTCAGGAACAGAACACAGCTCATTTTGAAGAGCCGTGGCCTTCTGGAGCAGAGTCGAGTTGTGCATTTTGGACAGATACGAGTGACAGCGTTTTCTAAATGTTTCACCTTCTGTCTTCTCATTGCAGAGGGGGGGTCAGTCTGCTAAATAACTGACAGCAGACCACCTAATCACAGCATCCCCTCATCTGTCACTGTAAAAGTTTAAAAATGCACTTCTAGAGTGGTCTCTCTCTTTTCTAGTCTTTGTAAAACAATCTCTCAAGAAACTAACTCCTGGAACTGCTCTGCGAGTATCAATGAAAACAATGGTGGAAGGAGAGGCGGGGGAGGGCCCGGTACGCAGAAGTCTCAGGACGGAGCTCTCACCGATGCAGGTCCTCGCAGGCACTGAATCGAGGGAGATCCAGAACGAAACCCAGGATAGCACCACGAGGAAAGTGGAAGGAACGTAGGTTTCCAAAATGAAGTACAGGACGTTCCTCCGGAGCTCAAATTGCAGGACCAATCGCGTATAGTTTCCTGAGAGGGCGAGTGAGAGGTAGGACGCGGGGCCCTCCCGCAGCAGAGTGGCTTCCCCGGGTGTTTATTTAGCCGCACTCCCGCTAAGCCACCTGTTAATCACCAAACCCTCCTTCCTCATGAACTGTCGTCGCAGTTTCCATGAGAGAAGATGCTGTTGTGTCGAGTGGGATTTATAGGCGCCCTGATGCCCCCACCCAAGATCCTCTCCTGTGCTCCCTGCAGCATCGTAGCTGCAGGTGTCATTGTCATCTACCTCCCCAGACGGTGAGCCCCTCGGGGGTCACTTTAGTATTGGGAGTGGAGCAGGTTAAAGTGCCAATTCCAGACCCCACCACCCACCACGCTGCAGAGGGGTTCCCGGGCCCCAAGGGATCAAGTGGAGAAGAGAGGCTATTTCTGACTCAGTTACTTTGCTTTCGTGCAGGCTGCCCCACGACTTACCTGTTTCCTGCTGTGACCTGGTGACCAGGGTGAAATACCGTTGGACGGTGTACTGAGCCAGCCGCAGGTTCTCCAGCCCACGCACCGAGTCGTTCCCGCGCAGCCAGCTGAACTCCACGTCGCTTCCGTCGTAGCCCCCTGGCAGCGGGACAGGGCCCTGGTCAGTGCAAGGCGGTGGCTGACCTGGGACTGAGCTGGTCTGGGCAACGCTACGCTTGGACATCGCAGGCCTCTGTCTCGATGGTGCGAGCCCAAGGTCGAGCCCGTGTGGAAGTCGGCACGGCTTCTCAAGTGCAACTGCAGCGCCTGCTCGGAGTGAGCTGCCCTGCGAGGCCGGGTACCTTCCATCGAGCACCGGCAGTGCTAAGCACGGGCCTGGTGGAGGATAGCCTCCAGCAGGGCCCCTCTCACTGTCGAAATACTTATTGCACACGTGTGAACACACAGGTCTGCTAGCTAGTGCCCTGCAGGGCACTCTGACACCTGGGACAGTGTTCCCAGGTACTTGACAGTTGGTCTGTTCATATTTCCATGTTGGCAAAAACTGCAAACACAAAAACCCTGCAGCCAACCACTCTATGTCTATAAACATAGGTGTTTGACAAATCTCAAAGCAGCTTTACTAATCGAGTTGGTAATAGTGGTAATAGCTGCCTTTTAGTAAACATTTATGTTCTCACAAACTGGCAAGGTAGACATTTCTGTTTTTCTTCATTTTTTTCACATTAATTTTTAAAAAAATTTTCAATTACAGTTGACATTCAGTGCTATATTAGTTTCAGGTATACAACATAGTGGTTAGATATTTATATAAGTTACCAAGTGATCCCTCCAATAAGTCTAGTACCTGCTTGTCACTGTATGTTGTTATTACAATATTATTGGCTATATTCCCTATGCTGTGCTTTCTACATTTTCTGTAATTGGGATGGATTTTATAGTTGACATATATATAATATTATATATGGCATATATATTATATATAATATTATATATAATATATATTTTACCCTTTGGCCCAGTATTCACTCCTAAGTATCTGCCCAAGAGAAACCAAATCATGCCCACGAAAAGACTTGTACACAAATGTCCACAGCAGCATTACTCATCGTAGCTGGAAGGTGGAAACAAGCCAGAGGGCCTCGTCCTGCTTGTATTTGTTTGTACGAAATAATGAGGGATAAAGCAGTAAAGGGTGCAATACTGCTACATGGCCAGACATGTAAGAACTCAGAAACATTACGCTAAGTGAAAGGAGCCAGATGCAAAAGACAACATAGTGTATCATTCGTATTTATATGAAATATCCCTAAAAGGCAAATTCAGAGACAGAAAGTAGATTAGCAGTTGCCTGGGGGTTGATGGTGGCAATGGAAGTGACCATAAATGGGCACAAGGGGTCTCTGTGAGTGACAGAAATGTTCCCACAATAAAATGTGGCAGTAGTCACACAACTTGGCAAATTTACTAAAAATCTTTGAATTGTACACTTAAAATGGGTGAACCTTACCGTATGTAAATTTACCCCAATTAAGCTGTTAAAAAATAACTCTCTGAGTCAGATACTATTATTTTTCCCACATCACTCATGAGTAAACAGGTCCAGGGATTTCAGTTCTACCTACCTGGAGGCACAGACCAGTGATAGAAAAAGCCCAGTGCTTCTGGTACCTGTGACCTTAAACATGGACTTCGATGCCTTCACTTTCCCAGTCTACTGGGAATGGAGTGCCAGTGCTGGACTAGCATTTTGTGGGGTCTTAGCTATGGTATCCCCTGTCCAGAAGCAGTTATCTCCCCTCCAAAGGCAAGGGAGTAGTCCTGGGCTCTTAGATTTCCAGGTAGAAACTCTCTGTGGACTCTCCCTTAGAAGCACCCCCAAATTTACTAAAATGAGGTGTCCAAATAGGCCTAGGATCCCAAAGAAATTTTTAAAAATATCTAAAAAAATGAATCATACAAACCCCTACTTGGACAGTTTGCTTTGTGCAATGGTATCCATTCTTTTCTAGGGGTGGGGTTTAGGACAAAACCCTTGGTGAGATTTCTGTACCCAAATAACTGCTAATAAACATTAAACAAAAGCTCCCTCTGCTCATTGGTGATGGTGTTTGTGCAGGCAGAGCACTGAAGTTTCCGGGAGAATCTCACTGCTGGGATTTGAGACGAGAACAGCCACACGTGGAGGGCAATTACTTTTGCCACGTAGGGCTGAAAATGAGTTCTTGTCTTGATAACCTCAAGCTGTATTCTGCCCCCAAACAGCTGTATTGTTCCACAAAGGTTATGCATGCTTTTAATCAATAAGGTAATTAATCTGCCTGTCTGAGTCTTTAATTAAATGCCTGCCTCTGAAAAATGACTGTTGCCTTATAATGGTTGTGCTCTTAGACGTTGGCCACTGTGTCCTCATGTTAGAAGTACCCCCCGGTCTCCAGAGCTCAACTAGGGTTTTTCTTCCTTGCACAAGCCAGGCCTTGATTCCTTAATGACTCCTATCTGTGGCACCCTTCTCCCAGGACACCTATCACAGGTACCACTCCCCCAGGTTCGGTGGACATTTCAGAGAAGCCTACTAGAGAGCAATGGCCATTACGCAACAATGCCATTTGACACATATCGAGTAAATGCTTGTTCCCCATCATGAGCAGGTCCCCAGAATGCAGATTAGATGCCCACGTACTGGCATTACTGTGTTAAGCTATATATCTCAAACAATTTCTTTTAGAAGTTGAAAGCAGTGCTAAACATCCAGGATTGCTTTGCATATTTGCTGTCTCTAATCTCTGCGGTGTCCTTTCTGGCTTCCATGCCCTAGCAGATTCTGAGTCCCCTTCCTGGTCCTATTGACCCCCATGTCCTTGGCTGTCTTGTCTACTCTTAGATGGAAATATTCTATTTCAGTGCACAATGTTCCTCCCCAAAAGATGTAATTTTGGGAGGTTTGTCTGTGAGCAGTCTCTAAATCTCTCTGGATGTACAGTCAGAAGGGCCAAATCCGGCATAATAGACGTCAAGAATAGAAAGGCCACTATGTAGAGCATATTCTTTGTGAAGACACAGATCTAAGTCACTCAGGAAAATCATCTCAGAGGCCTGCAGGACATGTATACTCACAGCTTTCCAGTTGCAACTGGCATGTCTGTGTGTCCATGGGGTATTTAGACAGGTCCATGTTACAGGCAACAGTCGTTGTGATTCTAGGAAAGGAAGGATGGGTTCGAAACAGTGTTATGAGGATGCTGTAGAGAGTATATGCACTCCCTTTTAAGGGCTGCTCCACGAGGACTTTCACCTAGAGTCTTACAGTGAATGTGTGACTTGGAGCCTGCATTCAAAGCTTTCCTGGGGTTCTCTGTGCTAAGCAACACCTGTGAGTCTCGGTTAAAGCTGGGGCCCATAACGTAGGAGTTGGAATGTTGGCAATTCAGAGGCAAACTTGCAATAACACTGCAGAACAGAATCACTCATTGGCTTGTTTGAGATGCTTCTGCATCCAGTTTTTAAATTTCATCTTCATGACAAGCCGTGAGAAGCTAGAACAGAGATCATGGTCACTACCGTCACCCTTTGACAACACACTTAGGGGCTCACTTAGGCTCATAGGGCTCTTAGTGGCAGAGCTGGGGCTGGGGCCCAGGTAGGAGACTCCACCATTGCCCAGGTCCCTCCCTCCTGGAGAGGATCAGCATGCAGAAGAAGTGGGAGGCATTAAAGGGCACCGGGCACCGTGGGTCCTAAGGACCAACATCCAGAGACTTGCAGTGAAACATCGGCTAAGCCCTCCCCATGGAGATTCAACAGGCAGACTGGTAGCTTCCTTTTTCCTCAGTGTCAGACATTTTTACTAAGCACCTTTATTTCCTAAGCACTGTGATGGGTGCTTGGCAAGGTGGAGGTGATTACGCACGGTGCCCACTCCTTTAAGGGAGACAGAATAGCAACTGCTGCAATTTACCGACCACGAGCCGGTCCCTGGGCTCACCGCTCTGCGTGCATCATCTCTTTGAGTTTACACAATAGCTTTATGAGATTGAAACTATTACGATTCTCCTGCTGCTGCTGAGGAAACTGAGGCTCAGAGAGTCAAGTAACTTGCCTGAGGGTCACAGAGCAGGGACAGGGTGGGCACTAGTCCCCAAGTCTAACTCTAGAGCCAGGCTGTTAACCATCACCTACTACTGGTAACCCTTGTACACAACAGATGTGTTATGTGCCATGATACAGACAGACACATGTATGCACAGGCACACACATCTGTGGCAACACAGGGAAGGGGGACACTAATGTTGATTGGAGTTGGGGGTCAAGGGAGAGATCTCATTAGACTTCTTTTTAAAAATTTTTTAAAATTGATTTTGAGAGAGAGAGGAAGGGAGGAAAGGAGGGAGGTAGAGATGGAGAGAGAGAGATTGATTTGCCCTTCCCCTTATTTACGCATTCATTGGTTGAGTCTTGCACGTGCCCTGACTGGGAATTGAACCTGCAACCTTGGTGGATCAGGACGATGCTCTAACCAACTAAGCTGCTCAGCCAGGGGCTCATGAGGCTTCTTGAAAGAGGTGGGGGGTTTTGGCTGAGCTTGGCAAATTCAGTGTAGCCGGGGAGGATCAGAAGAATAATCCAGAACTTCATTTTATTGGTTAGCCCAGTCTTGGTTTCATAGCTTCATCCTCTTATTTGGGATTAAGGATTAGCCCCATGAGTGTTCGGTTCCTGGCCTTCTACCCCAGGCCTCCGGGAGCATTCAGTTTGCACGGCCACCTCGTGGACTGCCTCACGCTGCACAGTGAGGCACCTTTGGGTTCCAGCCAGTTAGTGGCTTGATGGACAATTGGTTGGGAGGACTTTTGACCTCAGGGATCTAGGGAAGGGGCAAAGGGAAGCCCATGGCCGCAGTGGCAGAGGCCTTGGGGCCCCACGTTTTGATTCTCTGTACAAAAAACGACTGGGACAAGTAGAGACGCATTCTGCAGCTACCCCAGCCCCACGTGCTGGTATGGCCGTCTCTGTTTGCTCTTGCTGTCCCCTTACCTTCTCCCCTCGCTAAGTTCCTTTTGCTCTTTAGGGCATTGCCCCAAACCACGTACCTACTCCAGGCCCAAACCACATACCAGCCCAGGCCTCCTGCACCCTGGACCTTCATAGCCCGTGTGTCTGAGTGGGGACAGTGTCTGCCTCCCCTGTCTCCTCAGAGTCCCGAGTGGGGCCGGCACCGAGCAGTCATTCAGCAGATGCTGCGGGACCACAGTGAACAGGAGGAGGGCCCTTCTGGCTTGGGACCCAGGGTGGAAGGCGGCGGGGGCGTGAGAAGGGGACCTCAGCAGGGCCGTTTGAGCGCCGGTGCCAACTCCTCAAGGTGAATCTACGCTTTTTCCTCCACCTGTTTCCCCTCCCCCCCGAGGTCGCAGGTACCCACTCACCTGAGAGCATACAGGACCGTGCCGTTGGAGAAGAGGCGGATGAGCCTGTTTCCCACGGTGACCTCGTGGAGGAAGGACTTCTTGGACTCCACAATGTAAGTGTCCGGCACCCACAGGAACTCCACGAGGCGCGCGTCCAGAGTGACACTCTTGTTGCCCTCGAACACCAGCCGCTGGTCCGTCCAGCGCTGTCTGAGGTAGATGGTGGCCGTGTAGTCCTTGGGGGGACAGCGGCGGGGTAGAAATGGATGACAAGAAAAAGATTCTGAAATCTCCAATTGGGTCAGGGACATAGGTTACAGTGGTAGACACTGTGGCTAGTTTGTGTTGGGGCGACGGCCTGTAGCCGTAAGAGAGCAAAGCACCTTGTTTATTCTCGACAGTGACCCCCACCGGCCGAAGGGAGCCGGGGAGGAGCACGTTCGGGCCTTAACTTACTTGCCTCGATCACAAAGGGCCCGTCAAATGGTTGAAGGTTTTCGGGAGTTAACTGCTTGGGTTGTCCAGGGTTTCCCCCGAATGCACAGCGGGGCCTCCTGCCAAACTGCCTTTAGTGTCAGCTTGTCTGTGGCTTGTTCTCTTAAGTGGGGGGACGGCTGAAAGCAGGGAGGTGATTCTCCGTTTCCATCAGCTGGTCTCCTGCCCTAGGAGGGACCACGCAATCCTCCGGCTTCCCCACGACACAGGCATTGTCTTCCCTGATGTTTATCCCTCACCAAACGGGCCCACTGCACTCCCTCCTTTCTCTCCTCTTTCCTCCTGATACTCCTTAGATCTGTTTTACAAGAATCTTCCAGAGTCTCGAGTTTCGGGATAGGCCCCCACCTTCGGCCATCCCAAGGGCAGGAGGGCTGTAAGTCTGTTCTGTTTTCATGTACCCCCATTAAGCAAAAATAGGGGGACCCCCTGGGTGGCAGACGGCGGGGCCTCACTTACCATGTTACTCTCTGAAATACTATAAATACTAGCGATGTCCAGAGTCAGGGCTATCTGGACGGGCTCTCCTAGGATTGAAGAAAAACCAGAGAGACTTACATAGAAACACTGGCAGAAGGTTTCCTAACACTACATTAGCATATTCTTTTTAAATTAGAAAATTGCAAAGGTAACACGTGCCTGTTGGAAAATTTTAAATGCTCCAGAACAGCGATTTTCAACCGGTGTGCCGCAGGAATTTTTACAACACCCAGCTACTTAGTCAGGGGCCCTGACCGCTTTTCCCTTAGGTTGTCCAATAAAAAAAATGATAGCAGCCACACAACAACAGCCATCTGGCATGAATGAATCAAAATTATTTTTTTTGTTAGATTGGCAAAAAATACAATGTATTTTTTTGGTGTGCTGCAGAATTTCAGTAATTAGTTTATGTGCCCTGAGATGAAAATGGTTGAAAATTGCTGCTCTCGAAGTAGATAAAGTACAAGTTTCATTTCTGTCCTACCCCTCTCAGGAGAAAACATCATATAGCCTGTGCCTCCCTTTCGTATGGAAAAAAAGCCCAAATATATAGTTAGCTTAATATAGGAGAGACACACTGTATTTGTTAACGCATATTTAAAGTATATAGTGGTGTTTGCTATTTCATACTTGGGGGATTTTTCCTACAGTGCATGCAAGCGACTACTTATGTAGAAATGTAACTGAGATTTGGGAATTTGTGCTCGGATCTCTTTTTCCCCCTTGATTAAGTAAATTTGCCACAAGATGGCATTGAAGACTGTTCACGGTTGAGCCCTCGCTCACCTATCATACTTTCCCCCACTTCCTTTATTCTTAATTTTTGTTGTTACTCTGCACCTGAGGATATTTTTTCCATTGATTTTTAGGGAGAGTGGATGGGAGGGAGGGAGGGAGGAGGAAGTGGTGAGAGAGGGGGCGGAGAGAGAGAGAGGGAGGGAGAAACATTGATGTGGGAGAGACACATTGATTGGTTGCCTCCGCCACGTACCCGGGCCGGAAATTGAACCCACAGTCCTTTGGTGCTTGGGCTGATGCTCAAACTACTGAGCAACACCAGCCAGGGCTCTTCCTTTACTCTTTTAGGGACCCTAAACTATTCAGAATTCCAGAACCTTCCCCACTCAGGCCAAACTCCTAAGAGGGCCAGTCCTAACTCTTGAGATTGAGACCAGGCCAGAGAAGTTTCTTGCTTAGAGAACGAGAGCCCAGGGGTCAGAAAGATGTGAGTCTGATCTCAGCCTGGTGACCTGGGAAAACTTACAAATCCTTCAGAGCTGCACTTTTCTCACCTGTAAGTGGGGGTAACGTCAAGGACAACTAGGGTCAGGGAGAGGGCTAACTGGGATTAGGTGTGTGATGGCTCCTTGGCAAGGTGGGGACAAGGGGGAATATACCTCAAATGCTTGCCCAGCTGGGTGTGAAGAGGGGGCTCAGAAATAGTTATCTGCTCAAGCTCCCAGCATGGTGTCTGTCACGTAATAATAGGTACCCAGTAAATGGCATTTCTCTTCCCTCCCTCCTCTCTTCCGTAATCCTAGCTAATTCTGGAAAAGGAACAAGTTTACTGGTCAGGTTAATAGATGCACTAGCATTCACTTGCAATAAATACGGGGGGTGACTCAGGGGACTGTGACAATGCAGTAACCAGGAAGGGGAGAGGCAGAATTCCAGGGAAGCTTTAAGGACATCTAATCAGGGGGAATCAGGCAGAGTGACCTAATTATTCATCAAAGGAACCCAAGCCATAGAATACAGGTAGGACTTTGGAAATGGAGTTTTACAGCCAATGAAATTTAAAAAGAATGAAGTTAATATTTGTTGTTAATACTTGGTAGGAAAGGGGAGATCTTTGGGGACAGACCCTGGAAGGTGCTGAAGGAGTGTGATGCTAGGTGGCTTTCTACCCCTCAAGGCAGCACCAAGAAGAGAAACTTGGAGTCAGAGTGTTTGGAGCCCATGCTGGCCACTTCATAGCTGTGTGACCTTGTGCAAATTGCTAAACCTCTCTGTGCTACTGTGTCTCACCTGTGAAAGAGAGGTACTAATGCCTCCCAGCAAGGGTTGGGCTGGGAAGGTTATTTTAAGCGCCTGGAACCCAGTGGCCAGTGGGTCAGTGCGAGTTGCCTTCCCGAGGCATGTGGAAAACGGTAAAACACTCGAGAGCTCCAGCCCCACTGTGTTTTCTGTTTTGTTTGTTTCTAGATGGGTTAGCCCAGGCCTGGCCTCGGCTGGTGCTTCTGCGGGCCAGAGCTTGCTCTTCCTTCCCCTGACTTATAATGTAAGCTGTGCCACCAGAGGGCAGCTCTCTCCCAGGAAAGGAGGTCAAAGCCAGCTCCTGGGCAGTGCTCACAGGGCCTGCTTGCAAACCTGTCTAGCTCAGTCCCAGAGAAACCCTGCGCGGGTCTCGTCTCTTAAGGAAACTCAGGGTTCTAGAACGTGGGTGGACAGATATTACAGAGAACAACGACCCCTCCACGGGCCCCAGGCTGCCACATGAGTGTAGGTTCCTTTTGGAGTCAAAGTGCCACAAGGCACAAAAAAGGGGTTGGGTGCTGTGCTTTTTGACTGAGCACCCCTTGCCCATTTCCACCCTAGGGAGGGTCTGGGCCTCACATCCCCTTGACCCACTCCAGGCTCAGAAGGAACACCTTGCCCAAGGACCCAGCATCCTGCTGGCCAGGGAGCAGGCAACAGGAGGGCAGCATCCCGGATGCTGGGCCTAACCAGGATTTGAGAGGCAGAGAAACTGATGTGTGGACCTAGCCAAGTGTCAGGCTCACATGCTTGTTAGTGATCAGCTGGGCCCGGGACAACCAGGGGAGGTTGAAGCTCCCTGGGTTCCCTATCATAAGGACCTCAAATCCTGACTGTGTGGCCGAGAACACGCATCTCAGATCAGATCGCTTACTGATGGGAATGCTTGACCGAGGGCCCCAGCTGCTGTGCTCTGCAATCGATGACCCCATTTGCTCCGAGGCCACCCTTCCCGTGGCCCGTACCCCATCAGCCAGGGAACGCGGCAGGGGGCCTAAGGCAGGCCTATCTTGGAAGGCACAGAGATGGGAGACCCCTCTGATGGGAACTTCGGCTCCGGACTCTGGGAGCCTTTGCAAGCACCCTGGGAGCTCCACTGCTCACTAAGACAGGCCCCCCAACCTTCCTCCCCTCCCTCTCCTTCCCGCTCAGGCCTGTGTGGCACCTGACACTCTCCAGCTTTCCCTTTCCCGCCCCACATCCCTTCGCAGGTTTTGCCCAAACAGTGTCCTGCACACATAACCCCCTCTCGGCCCCTGCTTTTCACAGGACCTGGACTAACCCACAAATCCTAGACCTGAGCGAGAATGTCATCACCTGAGGGGGGGAGCAGGAAGGAACGGGATTAAAAGAGCCTGCGCCCCAATGATACTGCAGGCACTGCTCTGTTCGCACTCCTCACCGCACCCACCCTCCCGGCAGGCGGATCACATGGCCCCAGGTTACAGAAAGGAAGACCGAGGCTGGGGAAGCTAAGGGGCTTGCCACGTGCACAGCCAGGAGCCAAACCCAGGTTTGTTCAAGTCCAAGGCTCTTTCTACTACTTTCTGCTCTGTGCGATAAGGCCCGAGAGACCACCTGGGTTCAGCCTCGCATTTTACAAACAGAGCCTGAGGCCTGTGCAGGGGTGCGTGGCAGGTCTCAGCCCCTCCCTCCTGGCCTCATTCTTTCAACAGATACTGCCAGCTTCCTGTACGTCAAGCCCCAAGCTGCTGCTGGGGTTAGTGAGGTAAATAAAGCCAGACTCGCCCAGGGGCTGCAGCCCAGAGCTGAGACAGACATAAAACCAGCGACAGTGACAGTATCACCAGGTAATGGCAATGATTTGGAATTACGTTCAAAATAAAGTGTGAAGGAAGGGGATGGTGCCTGGAGGAATCAGGGGAGGCTTCTCAGAGGAGGCAGCCTTTGCTCTGAGACCTGAAAGAAAATTGACATTTCACCAGGGAGTGAAGTTGGAAGGAGGCTTTCTTGGCAGATGAATGGCTTCAGCAAAGGAGGCCAGGGAGGTCAGGGAGCACTGGGGCACACTTGTGTGGAGGGCATAGGGGACAGAGTTGGAGGTGGTAGGACTGGCAGACAGATAGAGGCTGGGCTGGGAAGGGCCTGGGCGCCATGCAAAGGGCTCTGGGCTCTATGCTGACGATGTTGGGATGCGGGCAGGTATTCTGAGCAGGCAAAGGACCCAGGCAGGGGATCCAGGCTGCAGAGTGGGGGTGGGCCTGGGGGGCAGGCTGAAGGCGGGAAGGCCAGGTGGACTCGTCCTGGTGAGACAGGGAGAATTCAGTGAGTGATGGTGCCGGAGGGGGGGGCAGAAGGAAGACAGTGTGTGAGGGGTGACGAGGGGGCTCGATAACCTCCTTAGCGGGGAGGAGGGTTTCTGAATCCTGCGGGAGGGGAGACAAAGTGCTTTCTCCAAGGTCGCGTGGAAACTCATCGCAGCTGCGCTCATCCATCACTGCCAGCCCTTCACGGGCTGCGGGCGGCAACGGGCGGCTCACCGTCCCGAAGCCCTCCTCTGCTCCTGTCCTTTGAATTGATGTCCTGGACAAAAAGGATGACCTACCGCCAAAATTGGGCCTGAGAAACTTGTTATATCCTACAGTGAGGTTCTCAAAGCCCGGCAGGGAGAGCTTGTCGCTTCTGCCGACCTCCACGGTGAACCGGTTCCCCTGGATACACACCCTGGAAAAGAAAGCAGGTGTCGTGCACACGCCTGTTGATGTGTGACTAGCATGTGTACACAAACCGGAGCTGCGTTTGCATGTACGCGGCTGTGCCCATGTACCCGCGGCGACTTTCCCGAAGAGAAATCTCTCCTTTTCAGCTGCCAAATGGATGTGGCCCCATCCCACTCCATTTCATTATCCATTTGCCTCTCTGTGGTAATGCAGGGACCCTCCAAGTGTCTTCCCAACAATCACAAGGGGTCTGTCCATTTGTGACCATTCTGGAAGCTTGAGTTCTCCAGGTGGAATAAATGGCAGGAAGCTGCACTGTCCTGGCGTATGAGGGAGGCGACCCGTTGGGAAGCAGGAAGGCAGCCACCCCACCCCTGCCACCCGGTGCACATACACAGAGCAGTTCAGACCACGGCCACTGTGGGGAAGCAGAGCTCACCTTCCAGCCAAGAGACTCAGATACAGCAAAGTCAAGTGGAGACTGTGTCTCATGTTGATGAGCTGCTTGTGCAGAGAGGACTGAAGCAGAAATCACCTGGGGGAAGAGGTAGGCAGGTGGGAGGCAGACGGTGCAACAGGCGCGCCTCTCCTCAGCCCAGCTTCCCCAGCCCGCCCATCCTCAGCTGCAGCATTTTCTCGCCAGGCGGGAGCAGCCTCTCTCCACTCCTTTCAGTTACAGCATCTGCTCCCCGCGGGCCACCCCAGAATGGCTTCATTTTGGAGGATCACATTTGCAACCCAACCCAAATAAAGTCTCAGACCTTGTTCAGAGAGTGGTTTACCCGAAACCAGAAATGCAGCTGGCCCAGCCTGTCCTTAGCCCCAGACTGTCCCTACCCTCTCCTTATCCTGACCTTGCCGGGAAGGACACCCCCAACTATACACTAACAAGCTGTTGCCTTGTTTATATGAGGGTCTAGGTCTGGTAAGCAGGTCACATAGACAGGAAATGAAAGCTTCCTGAGGGCCTTCCATGTGCCAAGGAATGAGTTAGGGGCTTTCCCACAGAGGGTCTCACCCGAGCCTCGCAATGGCCTTGTTAGAGGGGCAGGTTAATTCCTGTGCAGACCACCTCATTTTATTGCACTTCATAGATGTTGCATTTTTTTGCAAATCGAAGGCAAGACCCTCCACCAGGAAAAAGATCCTGACTCACTTTATCACAATACTAGCATTACTGAGGTGGTCTGGACCCAAACTCGAACATCTCCAAGGTGTTCCTGCATTGCCTTGAGGAAACAGAGGCTCACGGACAGGTCACTGTACTAGTGAGAGTCAGAGGAAACTTTGAGTCTGGGGCTGGCTGCCTCCTTTGCGGAATGGAGATGCTGGCTGCTTCCCCAGCCTCCCGGACTTGCTCCTGGGGCGCCCCGAAACCAGCCCGCTGGTGTGGGTGAGCAGAATGTGTGGCGAGGACTGTCAGGCTAGGCGTGGCCTGGCCTCCTCAGAGTTGGGAGCTGCTGTCAGATGTTCCTCTGAGAGAGCAGCAGGCGGCCAGACAGGCAAGCCTGTGACAAGTCATGGTCCTGCTGGTGACAGCAGAGTGGGGGTTGGTAGGCAGGGCTCAGGCCCATTCCCAGGCAGGCCATTCCCAGGGTGGACCCTCCCTCCTTGGGGTTACCTCTGTGACCCAGGTCACTTCCTAGAATCCAGCCATTCTGGGGCTCAGGGTGTGACTCAGCCATTAATTAACTCAGATCATTTTACTTACAGAAGATACATGCTCACTGAAGAAATAAAAACCAGATAGAGGTGTGTAAAGTTAAAAGTGTAAGTCTCGATGTATGTTCATTGGTTTAACAAATGATAGTGAGGAAGGCTGGGCTTGTTGGGGCTCAATATTGCTGTGAACCTAAAACTTCTCTAAAAATTAAAGTCTATTAAAGAAAATGTAAGTTGCTTCCTCACTTCTCTCTGGTCTCACACCTCCAAGATAACGTTACAGTTAACAGTTGTTTTACCTATGCATACACGTGTATATTTATATATAGGGTGTCCCAAAAAATATATATACACACTTTGAATAATTATAAAGGCAGTGTTTATTAAAATACATTTTATTTTCAAAATTGAGCTATCAGTTGTTAAAGAGGGTATACATTTTTTGGGACACCATATCTTTGCGTGAAGAAAAAGTTAAAAAGTAAAAGTGGGGTAACACCATACATTTCTTGCTATTTACTTTTTTCACTTAATAACAACAGCAAACATTTAAAAACACTTTAATGCATGCTTGCACTGTGCTAAGAACCTCTCGAATCCTCACAACGAATCTTTGAAGCAGTTACTACCATTCTCTTCATTTTCAAATGAAAAAGCTGAGGCTCAGAGAGGGTAACAAACAGTCCCAGGGTTGCACAGGAGGTGAGGGGCAGAACTGAATCCCGGCAAGCTGACCCCAGCACTTTTAGCCAGTGCACTGTGATACGGGCTCCTTCCCAGGGCTGGAGACACAGCCCCATGTCAGCACCCAGAGGTCTGCCTCTCTTTGCAACGGCTGCAAGGTGTTCCATAAGCTCAAAGTACCAACGTTCATAAAGCATATGTCCTATTTATGAATACTGAGTTCTTTTCAAAATTGTTAGTTACAAAACCACACAGGTAAGCTCCATAAGTCCTCACTCCATCGCTTTTCTCTACCCCAGCCCTTTCCTTCTCGCTCATCAAAAATACCAGCTACAGACAAACATTATCAAATCCATCAATGACCATATTCAAACCTTCCTTCACTCCATTTCCCCGATCCCTGTCCATCCCCCGTCCCAGCATTGAGTTTAAGAGGGTCCATGGGGTGACTCCCATGCCCCCCATCCCTCCATTCAATTGTCCAAAGGCTTAAGGAGCTCCTCCTACGCATGAGGCATCGCCAGAGCAGAGCTTTGGATTCAGACACACCTGCGGCATTTTACCTCTCAGAGCCTCGGGGTTCCCATCTGACAAATGGGGAGAGAAAGTACTCAGTACACATTGCTTTTCACTCTCCTCTCCCTTTTGTGTCTTCCATGGGGACGTCTGAGGACCCAAAGCCAGGCTCTCTGTAGCATCCCTGCCTGCTGCCACCCAGGGTTGAGCTGCCTTCAGTGTCACTTTGAGGACACTTAGTTTGGCATCACCTCAGAAAGGATAGGGTCAGACACAGGACCCCAGAGTCACCTAGGTCACTGATGGCACCTTTCTTTGGCTTGGCTCTGAGAAGCAAAGGTAATTCCAATGTGTGTGGGTTTCCATTCCCGTTCCCAGAATCTCCTTCACATAAGTACTGTGAACCCCACACTTCTTTCTATTCAGGCCCTGTCCCGTGTCATCAGTTGCTCTGGCAGGGACAGAAGCCTTGCTGGGAAGCAGGAGCGGAGCCCAAGTGAGGTTAGGTAAGGGGAGGCCGTGCCACCATGGGTCCTCCTCGAGAAAGTCAGGGAAGCCACCTTTGCGGTGCGCGCCCTGGCGGGCAGCACAGAGGGGGACGCACCTGTGGCTCAGGGGTCAGGCAAGGAGCTCGAATCTAGGCTCTGCCACTGCTCTGAGACCCTATCACTTCTCCTTGAGGTTTAATTTTCCCCACTGTGAAATGGGATAGTAATCAGTAGTTCTTCAGACAGTGGGGAGACCTGATACGAGGTAGGTGCTCAGCAAATTCCAGGCCCCATCCCAGCCCCTCAGTCCCAGCAGGGTTTGTGTTGGGATCTCCTTCCCTCTCCTCCCTCCAAGCACCAGGCGGGCCCAGCCCTTACCAGGCAGCTGCGAGGCTGTTAGGGCAGGTCCTCTGGGCCTTCAGGCTGGGCTGTAAGGCAGGCTGTGGTCTTCTGGGCCCCCGAGGTGCTCCCCATCCTCAGCCCTGGCCTCCCGGGTGCCAGCACACAGCCGCTCTCTGATGGAGTGGCTCTCTCCCTGGGGGACAGGCCTGCAGGCCGCTGGGCGGGGCCTCCTGCAGCCCCTTCCCTGGGTGGAGCTCTGAGTCCTGGGTGTCTGTGGGAATTGCCCAGCTCCTGTTATGACTGCTGGCTGCCAGGGGGTTGATTCTGAGCTGTGTCTCAGCTATGTTCCCAGACCACAGAAAAAAACTTGAGATCAAAGACCCACGAAGGTCAAATGGAGTGCATGACCCCACCCGCCCTGCCTGGAAGATGAGTCTCAGGGTGGCTGAATCTGGAGGGCGCAGCTCCATCCTGATATAATGGAATGGGCATCAGCACTATATATGATCTTGGGCAAGTCCATTCACCTTTCTGTCCTCAGCTTCGCATCTGAAGACAGAACTTGACCATTTCTGAAATTTTGATCCCTGGTTGTGTGTTGTAAGAGCGTTTGGGGATCAACAGAAAGCCTTGACTATATAAAAGGAGACTTGCAGATCCAGGGAACATGTGCTTTCCAGGCTGGGAAGTTTCAAAAAGAGCCTCGGGGGCCAAGAGAGTGAAGGGTAGAGGCTGAGTAGCCAACCCAGGACGAGGTGGGAGAGACTTTGGTAGATTTCCAGATCTCTCCTCCTTGCCCACCCCTCCTCCCACAGAGGATTCTTTAATTCTCTGAAAAGTCCTTCTAGTAGCATCCTTCCTCCATGGCCAGTCAAACCTCTTAACAGGCCTGCTTCCACCTTGCTCGTTAAACACTAATCCTCCTGTCACCGCTGCCAGTGGCCCCGGAACTCACTGTTGGCTCCAGCCCCATGGGAAGGCACAGGAATTCCTGCAGGCTTGGCTTTGCACCCAGCCAGAGCTGGGAGCTGGGGAGGAAGCCCAGTGAGAGACCAGTGAGGGACCCCGGAGAGAGCTGAGGCTGTGGCAAGGTGCACACAGGCGCCTCCTACCCTCCTGACATCACAGCCAAGTTCCTGCCCGGACCCCTTTTCCCCCACTGGTCTTGGGGGTGGGAAAGTGGAAAGACAGGGAGAGAAATGGAGGGAGACAATGGAGCTGCAGAAAGTAAAAGGAGGTAGGAGGAGGGGTGGGCCTCATAGATAATACCCCGGAGATGCCTCTGGCTCCAAACCAGTTTCTTCAGTGTGCCCTGGAGCCCGGCCAGCCTCGCAAACATTTCTGTGCCGGCTGGCTGGTGGGCAGTAGGCTCCCTGAGACTCATCTTCCAGGCAAGGTGGGTGGGGTCACCTTCACCTGGGCGCCTGGAAGGCACTGCAGCAGGACAGGCTAAGGAGCCGTTTCAGGTTCTCAGTGAATGGAAAGTGGTTTGAGGTTTTTCTCGGAATTTCCAAGATGTTCTTACATAAAACAAAGGCTCATAAGGAACAAATACAGTTC